AAAAAAAAAACATTCTGATCATAGACCAACCGGTCAAACCCCCTAATATGAATCACATTGAACATTCCTGGGGAAAATTGAGTAGTAATGTATACAGGATAAATCACTTAAAGCAAACCCAAAACAGTTTAAAAACTATTTGACCCATGAGTGAAACAGTCTCTCAGTAAACATTGATGGACATCTTTCCCTACCGCGTAGTGCGCCTTTATCGTGCATGTGGTGGTCACACCCGCTACTGATATGATAGTTGTATGCTAGGAATGTGTGAGAAATTTTGTAATCGATTGTGACTGAAAGAGTTTCTATTTTAGAAGAATCAGTATTATCTTATTTTCAGGGGACATGTAAAAAAAATTAATCCACAGGAAATGCGAAATATAACATGTCTTTGTTTCTTTTGCATGTCGCGAGATTGGACATTTTGTGTTTGCAACGATACAACTGTACAACAAAAAAGTTGACTTTTGTAACAAAAGACATATAATTATATTAGGTGTGACGACCATTTTGAACAACAACCGTGTATGGTACATTTCTACTCAAGAAGAGGGAATGCAAATTATTTAAACGTTCAATTTAAACTTACAGATAAAACTTCGAAGTCGAGGAGTGCACATGCTTTGATAAAGGTTAAAGACGACGATAAAACCGTGAAACAGGTACTAAAAAAGAGCAAAGGGCAACCAGTTTTCTACGAATCAGTGACACTTTGGGACTTTGGCGGTCAGTATGTCTTCTACACGACACATCAAACCTTCCTCACCCGGCGAGCTCTCTACTTATTGGTATTTGACCTCACCAAAGGTTTAAATGCACCCGTCCACGTGAAGCGAGGTGGCACAGTAAAAGATATCAAAGTGGATATCATCCCAAGCACTGTTGGTGGTACGTTTTTTTTAAATGACGTTTATTCTCATGTATATACAACTCCTAGTATGAATGTTAACATAACTCCTATGGCATTTAAGGTCACGTGTGGTTTAGAAATACTAACATTAATAGGACTATCTATCTATCTATCTATCTATTTATCTATAGATGTAAACGGTGTACATATTATATATAAAGAACATAATATCAGTTCATTTCTTTTCAGATTTTTTAATGTTTTGGCAAAATTATATCCATGCGCACACTAAGATAGTTGATCACCAGAGATTGGAGTATATTTGTCCCAAAATCCTGTTAGTGGGGACACACAGAGATAAACTTGGACATACGGAAGAGGTAGTGGCTCAAAATTTGAGTTTTATTATTATTATTATTTGAAGCCATTGTATTCTGAGTAAATTGGAAAATATGTTCTTGATAACTTATGTAAAATACGTTGAAAAGCTTCTAAACTTCAAGCCATTTATTCAATATATGCCATACATTCGGTTCACAGGAAAGGAAGAAGGCAGTAGAAGAAAAGTTTATTGAAATTCTGGAATACTTGCGCAGGAGACCGGCACACGACATGCACGTACAGCCACACTTATATGCCGTGAACAACTGCGACCCTCGGGACGCTGAGATACAAGAGTTAAGACAGGAAATATGTAAAACAATCAAGGAACAGCCATACTGGGGTGAAGAGCAGCCGTTGAAATACGTGCTTCTGGAAAAGACACTAAATGAGATCAGTGAAACTCGGAAGTGCCTCAGCCTTGATGAGGTGCTTGAGATAGGGACACAACATGCCCTGGTGAATGACGAAATGGTAATTCACTTTTTGAAATTCTACAGCGAACTAGGGGAACTTGTTTTCTTCAATGAAGATGACACTCGCAACATCGTCATATTAGATCCCCCGTGGTTGATGGATGCCTTTGCATCCCTTATAACTGTAGAGAAGTACCACAAGGGTTCCAGCCTAGAAGCCATGGATTATTGGGATCTTCTGGACGAAAGAGGAGAACTGGATGAACGGTTGATTGACATTGTATGGAAGGAAGAAGCCGAGCTGAAGAAAAACAAGGCCGTTCTTCTTCGTATTTGTCAGCGTTTTGACCTCCTAGTTGAGCTACAGGAGGAAGATGCCGACGGCCAATGGAAGAAATATTTAGTACCTTGTGTGCTGAAAAACCACCCCAATCAAGAAGGCTATTTGAAGATACCTGAATGTCCATCAGAAGGTTATTTGGAGATGCAGAAGATTCCTCCATTATACCTGATGTTTGACGGTGGATTCTGCCCCCCTGGTCTCTTTCATCGCCTGGTGGTCTGCTGCTACAGGAAGTGGTCATCTCATGACAAAAAGCCATACTGCAACTACGCTTGCTTCAAGGTGGACAGGTCAACTCACACAATATTGGAGTTATGTAATGAAGGGGACGGCACATTCAAACTTTTAGTTGGCTCGTTGAAAAAAGGCGTCAACGTCTTGGACAGTGACAGTGCATTCCACGTACTAACCTGTATCAAGCAGGAGCTAGACCGCCTTATTGGCGCCTATTTCCCTTACCTGAAGTACAGCATTGGGCTCCGCTTTCCACACGACCTGGTGAAACTGACAGAAGATCTGAAGACCGAAATTTTGGAGAGCGAAAGCGTGTGTCCGCCTGAATGTCCAGTTGACATTGATACCGCCCCATACAGGAAATGGCTGAGGAAGAATGAATATGTTTGTCCTTCCACTAGCATCGGTAAGTGGTTTTTGTGTTTTTATTTTATTATTTAAGTAAATATGCGCAATTTTGTCAATCAGTAACGATTCAGTGTTATATTAGTTTATTTTATACCTAAACAAAGACATCGATCACAATGCGCCTATTTCTATATACCCACTAATAAAAAGTGTCACCCCTTACACAATGGGTAAAGTGGTACACAAAATCATTTTATAAAAAAACGTTATATATCCAACTTGAAAAGTGATTTTTTTCACAAAAATTAACTGATTGTACAACCAGTGAAGAAAATAACCATAGTAAAAAAATCAAACGCCCGTTTTAGTATTGTCTACGACATCCTCTGAATTGGAGGCCGCACCTGACGCGTTTGTGCGCGGAGACAAATAAATTGTATAACTTTTGCACATTGATGGTGTTCCACTTTCAATATAAGGTCATTTTTAGAGAGTTAGCTTTCAGTTGTCTATTTTCGAGCTCACCTTAGGAAATATTTATGAGGTTCTGATCTAGGGATTGAACTGGCCATATATATATATATATATATATATATATATATATATATATATATATATAATCTGAACGTTATATATATATAATCTGAACGTTTTGTTCTACTGGCAATATATAGGAGGACATGTTACCAATGTCATAAATTCATGTATTTTACCAAACTTATATCACAATTTCAATGGATGCTATGTTCTCTGAACAATTTTATTAATAAGTTAATCAGCGCAACACTGAACAGCTTCTACAGTAGGTTAAATGGCAAGATATTTTAAAATAATCATAGTAATCAATCCCAAGTGTGCAAACTGTGGTCGTTTAAAGAAATTTAAATGTTGTAGTTATTGTGGTCACAGAAAACCATCGTTTTGAAGAAATGCCACACATGTACAAAATGCCTAAAGTGAAAAAAATGTGTTTGTGACAAGTGATATCTGTGTCGAAGTGTTGCGCTTATTTAACTAAAACACAGAAAACATTGTTGTTTTTCTCTTGCAGCCAGCTTTCGTCAGTCGGCACAAGGCCCACCCTTTCGTATGGGGGAAAAATACTGCTACGAAGCAGTGCGACTGTCCAGTTTTAAAGACTTGTCCAATTCAGTCCCGGTACCAGCAACGCGACTTGCACGGTCAGGGTTCCATTACACTGGAAACAGTGACGAGGTAGTATGTTTTAGCTGTGGAGGGAGACTTAAGGAGTGGACCTATGGAGACAATCCATTCGTGCGTCATCGTAATTTCTTCCCAGATTGCCCACTTATGAAAGGGACTGAGACAAAGAATGTCCCCCTGTTCCAAACAGATGATGCTATTTCTAATGGCAACATTGGCACCAATGATGATCCTTTCCCAAACTTAGCAAGGTCTACCCCACGTGACCATGGTGACAATGCGTCCTTACTACTGTCAAACCAACAGGCACTATCCAGGTCACTGGGCATCAGTTCACCAGAGGTCGCCACCCCGCAGATCACTCATTCTGGGGTTGCCAGTGGTGTACGCTCTAACGAGAACACATCTGCCCACTTAACTCCACCAAATACATATCATCTGCCTACATGTGTCCCTTCACGGATGAGGAATGAGTCTGATCGCCTATCAACTTTCGTCAGCTGGCCCAGTGGTGCAAGTGTCCGACCCAGAGACTTGGCAAGAGCTGGTTTCTTCTATCTGGGCACGGAGGACCGGGTACAATGTGCCTTCTGTGAGGGGATATTAAAGAAATGGGAACTAGGTATGATTACTTTTTATCGCTATGAACGTGATTCTATATATCCCTGCCTGTTCTGTATAAATGGATGAAGCAGGAAAAGTGCCACTTATATGTATGTATATGAAAAATATAAATTTATCAAAACAATTAAATGCTGGTTTTAGCAAAGCATTCATGGTTGTTGGATTTAAAACGCACAATACTCCTCAGCGTCAGAATAATGAAATGGATCACGGACTGTCAGACATTAACATATGTTTTAGGTGACCAACCGATGCAGGAACACCGCAAATATCTTTCCACCTGCCCGTTCGTCCTAGGACTGGAAGTTGGGAACATTCCTCTGGAAGAACCAGGCGCAGCTCTTCCTCTTGCTGTGTCGGAATCACAAAGACAAGCTGTGGGAGGCAGGACAACAGTATCAGAGAGTAATGAGATAACAATAATTATCAGTAATAATAATAGCATCAGAGGTGGACTTTGGATTTACGGTTTGATCAAGGAGTTATAACAGTAGGGGATTACACGCGTGGGGGCGGAGCCCGTATTACGGTCTCTCATTGGTCGGAATGAATAGAACCCGGAGAACAATGGGTGCCTATCTCTGTTACGCTTTCTGTTACTCTCGTTTAAATCTCGTTTGTCAGAATAGGTGCCTTCGTCTGTCGTTTGGAGAGGACACAAACAAAAACGCAGTCAAATGTTTCTTAAAATGAGAGAATTTCAGAGTGCAGAGGATATAACGTTGGATAAGGTTTTCAAAAAACAGGTAAGTGCTTTTAAATGCATAACTACACGAAATATGAAGATAAATTGCAACTTTTATTCCGTAGGGTCTCACTGTGTAAGTGTCCATCTACACGTTGATCTCGCGAGGTGGTGTGTGGAGAATAAATATTGCACAAAAATATTTTCCACTCATAACAAGTGCTTATAAATATAGTATCAGATGAAAAAAGTTTGGTCTTTATACAGTTGCAATTGTTTATTAATTTGTGGCAATAGCAAAGACTAAAACTTGGGTCCACTTTCAGTAGCCGAATAACAAGCAGATGCTTAAGTCGCCATCTTGTTTATGTTTCGAAAAAAAAAAAACTCCAAAAGACATTTTCCTCCTACTTTTTGATACTTGTGTCACATGACAGCCATAAAATTTACTTAATTGTTATGTGTGCAATACACTTTCTTGAGCAGTATTGTTGTTTTTTCGATTTTATATGTGGTCTAGTTAGAATACAACAAGGGACAATTTTCACGAGTCCAGATCAAAAAGTGTTACGCTTGTTACGGCCAAAAGCCTAAACGTTTTTTGTACTTTTCAAATGCGTGATTATAAAAGATTTTGGTGTGTTTAGATTCTTGAACATCTTGGTCGTGGCATGGTATATATTGCATGGGTACTGCTCCAATATTTCTTGAAAAAAATAACCTGATTTGTTCAGAATACTAATTTTTTACTTTAGTGTTATGGGTATATGTACCATTTTTGCCTTTACCTTTTTCGTGTTTTTAAAAAACTAAAAAGACTCATCATGACAGTTGGTCATCATTTTTCTTCTCACCATGGTGAGTGGCTTTGGAGTGGTAACTTTGTTGTTAAAGTAAGGTGCTCAGTTATTTTGACTGGAAAAGTTTTGCCTCCACCCAGCATTTTCCATCATGGCGGTCTAACAGGAAGTTTGACTTCACAGTGTCTTTGGTATAGTTATTTTTAACTTATTTAGTCTTCTTTTCACATATATATGTTTTAATTCATATCAAACCTTTGAAAAAAGAACACACATGAATCCTGGTGCTTCTTAATTTAAAGTCTTAAGGCTTTAAGTTCACCTAGGCTCCACCAATTACTTTACCTGTTATCTCACTACACATCTCTCTTTGAGTCAAGGTGTTTAAGACACACCTTATTGTGTAAGACACCTCTATAATTAAGGGGTACTTGCTATTCTACGTTAATTATACTTCACTACTTTGGCATGTTAGGTGGCAAGCTTGGATGTTTCAGTTCATTTGAAGAAAGAAGCTTTGCCTTGGTGGTTACAAAATAATAGAACTCTATTAAGGTTTATTCATTACTTGAAAGTAAATATTTCACCTTGCAATGTTGAAACAGAAATTCTCTCAAAATTGATGATGGATTTGACATGCATATCTTAACACTACTCAAGTTTTTTTTTTTCTATTATAGATATAGGAGAAGGCTGCATTGAATATATGAATTATGGTCAGGCTGGAAAAAATTAAAATATGTCAATGAAAAAAGGAGGTCAGTCTGTCTGGGGTAAGTTACTTTTGTCATAATGCCTAAACATTCACTAACAACAGCACCCTTTTTAATTTTTTTTCAAAATACAACAACCTTGGGCATTTTCCTTTTAGCAACCAGCCTCTCTGAAATCCCCTTTTTGTCCTGTCAGAAGAGTAGGAACCAGGGCGGATTTAAATAATTTCTTGTAATAAGTACAATTTCTTGGGGTTATTAGCTTGTGATCATGAATCTTGATGTTCTATTTAAATTTAGTTGTAAATTGTTCATTTATGTGGTGAACATTATTTCAGTCAAGTCATAACAAGACACAACTTCACTGCGTAATTCCATAATGTCTACATGGATACTAGTAGTTCATAATGCTATTATTATGTTTTTTTTTCTAACCTACAGGTTTCTCTCTTTTCTGAGTGGCATGGCATTAGCAAGGCAGAAGAAAAGGCCCTGAAGAAATTCTCACTTGAGTTGTCCTTTTTGGAGAAGAAACTGGATAAGACTGGCCAACAGAGATTGCATTAAATTAATAGTGCTCCATCATGACATTTTAAAATATTTTCAGTCACCTAACTGACTCTATACATTGCAAAAGTGGACATAAATTTTATGTTTCTGTCACGTGGAAAAAAATTCAAAACCTATATATAAATTGTTGAGTGCCATGGTATAACAGTCTACCTGATTGCCAGTGAAATTTCTGTTTCAGTGAAATTTTTTTAAAGCAGTCACTTACTGGCCCAGTTAATTTTTTTAGCTGTAACATTTTATAAATATTCTTACTAAGTGTTGTCTTGATCTATAATAACCTTTTGAAAATCCCATGTTTTTGATCCTATTTGTAAGAATTAGCCACTTTATCTTCTAGGATTTTTTTTTCATTCGTCCCATTAGATTCTCAGACATTGCTGGCCTGTAAGTGGAATAGTATCTGGCACAGACTGGTATCAGCAAGTCAGATAACAAAGAATGTAATTATTTCTATTTGCACGGTTGAAAAAAATGCCATCATAGACTGCATAAAACTGGAAAACTGAAGCAACTTAATCATTCTTATGACTTTATTAATTACTGCTTATGTGTAAAATTTTGTTTTTGTTCTTCTATTGATATAATAAAATGGTTTTACTCATAGATGCTACTATCATGATGCTTGAGTATAGAGTTGACTTAAAAGATATTTAAGTTATTATAGTAAATAATAGTTTGAAATTCTATATTCTCATCTTTATTTGTTTTACTTTAAAGAGCTCAGTGAATACTAAAATTTCGGATATATTTTGTACATAAATATATTTATGAATGAATAAAAAATTATTCTTAATGTTTAGCACTGTGCACTTGTTTACCGACAGATATGAACAGTGTTAGTACGTGTCAAATAATCCTGAAAAAAAGGGAAATTTCCAAGATAAAGAAATTTATAACGAGTATTCAATAAACTGACATGTCGTGGCATTGCCTCAACCTTGGATTAAAATTTTACTTTAATGCATTATAATATTAAAATTATACCAAGTGAGAGAAAAAATACTTTAAGAAATTTAAAACCAGACACAAAGCGTAGGCACTGTCACAATGTATATGTTTATGGGACCCAAGGGCAGCTGGGTCCAAACGTTAATGTATTAATATTATGTCCTTTGGCAGTGAGGACAGACGTTCACTTGAATGCCATTTTCACAAACCACAGTTGGGACGTTTTCTGTTGACTTCTCCTGGGTGATTTTTCACCGGGTTGTGCCATAAAAAAAGCCATCTATCACCGACTCAAAAAAGGTCATGGCGACCATTCTCAGTCACCACCTTATAATCGCTTTCTATGATATCGTTCCCTTCCAGGACATCGTCCAAATAATTACCTGTGAAAAAAATCGTCAGCATACTGCGGCGCTTTGACACTACTGATCTCGAATTCTAACGCGAAATAACGCACATGAAATTAATCCCCAAGCTGAGGAGAGCGACGCAGACGAAACCTTGAGACAGGAGGCCCCCCGTAGCTAGCTCCGCCCACCGTAACAGACATCGGACAATAGAGAGGCTTGCGTGTAATCTCCTTCTGTTATAACTCCTTGGTTTGATTGAGCGCATGCCATGCACGGAATTAAAAAACGATTGACGGGATGATGTAGCCTGCAGTATTTACGGTAAGCGTGCCAAGTTTTAGGCCGCTCCGATGCCCGGCAGTATTTTATTTCGATTTTTATGTTCAAAATTGTGGAATTTTGTTTCACAAGCTTACTCTATTTTATTGTCTCTATGGAGGTATATGGGGACTTTATGACATTCGGTTTGATGGCTTTAACCACTTGGTATAGATTATTTAAGTTTATGCACCCGGTTTTAATATCATTTAGCTATTTTACGACAATCGTTTACTATCCAATCAAGGTGACAGCCGAGCGTGTGTTAGTGCATGACGACAACCACAGATATTAAATGTCGTTAAACTGTCTTTACTTTACCTATTAGGACGATCATTAAAGCTCGCCTTTACATGATTTCTCCCCATAGATGCCACAACTGGACCCACACTGGGAATTCTAACAGGGAGACCTAGACACGAGAGATACGCCATTGCACAGGCCAGAGTTCAGACCTTTGCTAACTGGCCGCCATCTCGTATTCCGCGTCCTGAAGCTCTCGCCAGGGCCGGGTTTTTTTACGCCGGTAAGTCCACTTTATATTTGAATGAAATATATTAAATAATTTATCAATATGTCACATATCCATTGGTGTTGTCAAATTTATATATAAAAAAGAGACACCTCGATATAATGCAAATGTCATAACCTAAAACGCCACTTTTTAAAGCGCATCAGCATCCCACAAAAGCAAAGTCACACTATATGTGTAGTATGTACAGATGACCATGTACTTCAACGTGCAATCCACAGCTCTCACGATATTTTTAGATTGTCGTTAATAATAAACTGATCCCTGATGAATACAAAAAGGACAAAATGTAATCTTAATGAGAGGAGTAACAGTTGATGTATAATCAGTTGATGAATTATTATTAATTAATTAATTAATTAATTAATTAATTAATTAATTAATTAATTATTTATTTATTTATTTATTTATTTATTTATTTATTGTTAATAACAGGTTTTGGTGACAACGTGAAATGTTTCTTCTGTGACGGAGGACTTAGGAATTGGGAATCTCAAGACGACCCTTGGGTTGAACATGCGCGTTGGTTCCCGCGTTGTGATTTTGTTCGTCAGTGCAAGGGGGATGCTTTTATTCAAATGATTAAGGATCAAAAGTCGCCAAACAACCCGGTAATCATATATTTAATCACACCATTTAATATAATGAAGATATGAACAGACTGTTTAGTGTAGATGACGTTTAAATAATAGGTGTAACTTAGGCGATGTCTGATTTTCAATTTAATAACGCGCACATCTTTAATCAAGATACCTTGCATGACGTACATTACTCGTATAAGCACATCATACTTGATGAAAGACAAAAATGTGGATTGTCTTTAGGTTGTAAATCTACAATCCACGTTAAGAACTGCCATATACATTTACTATGTTATATATGTCGTTAAACATATATAACATAGTAAATGTATATATAAATTGTTCACGGTTTATATTGATTAATTCAATTTAGCCTTCCCAGGCTCAAGCACAAGAACAAAGAGCACAAGGTTAGTTATCCATTGTTTTCTGGCCAACAAACACAATTATCATTTAGCCAGTGCATGCGCCTTGCTAGATTTCTTAAGTTTTAAAGTAGCACTCACCTTCATAGATGGACTGTATGGCTTTTCACAGAATTAGCAAATTTAGTAAATTTGTGTGAGGTACATGTATATATATGAACAAGTCCATATTGTTCTTATTTGTGATTGGAGCCCATTAAACATTCAACAACTTGGAACAAAACATCACCATATACTTGTAAAGAATGACTGAGCATGCTTCTTGTCTCATCATGTGATCAGAACTCTGTCTGTATACAGGTGCGCCAGGAGGTTATCACGTAGAGGCCCGGGAGATCAAAGCCCGCCTCGACACCCCGACAGTGCAGGCGGTCTTAGACATGGGTTTCAGACGAGATACAGTGCGTCAGGCGATCGAACGTAGATTGAGGGATACTGGAGATGATTTCCCCAGTGCAGCGAGTTTACTAGATGCCATTTTAAAAATTGAGGATGAGATGAACCGGCAGACGGCGCAAGGTGCGGCGGCGATGGCAGTTATTCCCCAAGAGGAGCCATGTCAACAGCCACTAAACCCAGCTCTGTCTGAAGTACCAGCATCTGTGGCAACCCAAAAAACATCTCAAACGCAGAATTCGGGTACATGTCTGAGCTGATAACACTCCGTTATGATTACATGCGGTTAGATTATATACAATTTACAGAGATTAAAAAACTGTTCAGAAACATTGTTATTTTGAATGATTATGAAATAATAATAGGTGCTAAGGTAAATATTCTAACCAAATTAGATGACAAATGACACATCTGAGTCATCTTTACAAAAGGCAAAGCTGTTCAGACTGGATATAAAATTTAATTTCAGAGAAACAATCTAAAAAAGACAATAAAAAGAAAAAGAAGAAGCAAGACGGTCCGGTACCAAAGGAAAGTGACGACAAGGGTGAGCACTTGGCTTTTTGATCTGTGTTTGATGTGTGCCATTTAGTTGGTCATGGGTTACTTCTAGAGACCATTCCCAGAGACTATCGCACTCACTTTGGATTGATCTAGTTCCAAGGGGATTCTCACTAAATTCCTATCAACTTAAGCGGCTTTGATGTCTCGCATGCCCACTGAAGCTGTTTGGGGGGTAATTAACTATCGTTTAGGGACTTCAGTAGGCATACCAGCCATATAAGGCGTTTAAGCTAAAAGCAATTTAGAAAGAAACCCCTTGGAGAAGGGTCGGTCCAGTTAGATAGATCTACGCATGGGAACCCAGTTCTAGTCTAAACACCCAGTGCGTCTTTGATAACCCAGAGTGCCGAGCTCGCGGTGCTTTGATCAAGGTCATGGCCATTATGGTCATTAAACAGCTAGGTGGTGAGAGGCACCCTGAGCTTCAGAGATAACTTGACACTAACCTCTTCACTATAGCCTACCTTCATCGTGTCAAGTTACCTCTGACGAAAATAGTTTCACCTAGTTTATATAAGCCAATCGAATCCATGTTTCGAAATTTTTCACCAACGTTTGGCGAAAACGATGATTGGTTGAAAGTACAGAATTATGTCCAATGAGAAAATTGTATTTCGTTGCGCCCGCATAACCGTACACACACAAAAAAAAAAGCATGGCGTCACCTACGAGTGACTAGGTAAAAGAATGTGTTAAGCTATCTCTTGATTCTTTGCAAAATATGAGTATATCGGAATCGAAACCAGAGCAGTTTGAGGCCTTGCATCATTATCTACTGAGGGATGATGTATTTTGCTTGTTGCTCACAGGTTACGGCAAGTCCCTGATATTCAGCCTTATCTTTGATTGGTCCAGATTTTAACAAAGCGCGCTTTGACTCATTCGCGTTCATTGGCTAGATACTAAGTAATCGTGAATTAGTTTGTACGTTTTAGAAAATGGGCATGAATATAAAAAGCAAAACTTTCTGAAAAAACGTATTTTCTTTTTTTTTTCAACTAAACCATCAACGCACTCGAATTGCAGCTACAGGACGACTGGCATAAATCGTTTATGTTGTTTACAATAAGAAGCATCCTTAAGCACTTGATGAATGATTAAAAAAAGAAGGGCAAACGTGTTTATTTGTGTCATTTCCCTTGTCTGAATATTATATCCTTATCAACAACTGTTTTGAAGTAAGTGTTACCAGTTGCATTCCAGAGACCAAGTCTTTGCTGGAAGAAAACAAAAGACTGAAAGAAGAGCGCATCTGTAAGATTTGTATGGATGAAGAAGTTAGCGTAGTATTTCTGCCGTGCGGCCATCTTGTCGCCTGTGTCCAGTGTGCACCTGCCTTAAGGAATTGCGCCATTTGCAGAACAGCCATCAAGGGAACGGTTAGGTCCATATTAAGTTAATCTTTATGTTATCCTGGCTAGGAATAGCAATGATTTCATCCAAACTGCACTATCATCTTAATATCTAAATACTAAGCTGAAGGAACTAAGTATCACAGATTCAATGACATTTCTTGGTCATGTATTGCAAAGTGTAGTAACAACTATTCTCATTTTGACAGATTTAAAAAAGGTTTTGTACCTACAAACTACATGTGTCAAAACATTGGCATGGAGCGACTATCATAAACATCATGATAAAGAAAAGCGTTATTTATGAACTTGCTCATTGTTATTTTTCACAGCTTTTAAAGTCACAAAATTATTCAAAAGTGAATTGTATGCTTTTTGATTATTAAACACGCTAATGCACTAGTATTTATTCAGTTATAACATTTGAACACAATGCAGAATGATTTTATTCATATGGATATTAATCTGACTTAAAACATTTGAACACAATGCAGAATGATTTTATTTATATGGATATTAATCTGCTTGACTTATTACGTGTGGTTAGTGCCTTATTATATTTTTTTTAATATTGCAACTTCTTGTGTAAAAAGGTGTGTGTACTATCCCAACATTTTAATGTCGTTATTTAGGATTTTGTAGAGTTTTCCTTATTGTTACTTTACTGATTTCAGGAATTGACCTTCCTGTATGCATTCTCATTATGATTATAAGCGTGCGAGATGTGCGATATTATTACATTATTAGCATACTTATTATTTTTTTATTATGACAAATATAAGTATTTTTCTAATCAATATGTTATGTTTTATTTATTATATAGCATATTTATTTCCGTTTATATTATCTATTACAAATCACTTAATGCTAATCAGTGTAAAATTGTATTGTGTTATCCATGATCATTATTATTACCATGTTGTGCTTTACTTTTTAAACTTATGTATAATAGTTTTTGTATTCAGTTTTTTTTTTCAATGATTATGTTTTATTTAATGTGTATCTTTTTATTCACTATATTTTGGATAATCTTACGTACTTTGTATAGCATTTAACATTGATGGCAACACCCAAGCCTTGTCACATAAGCTTTTTAAATGATGTAGACGTGCTATTTATAGTAATGAATAATTATGCTACAGCCAACAAAGAGAGCCAAATTTTCCGATTAGGAACTCGTTTCATTTGATAAATGAATAACTTTTGTTGATATTATATGAGATGTTTGATTTTCATTTAGACGAGCAGTTGAACTTCATGGCGTTCATTGAATATATGGTATATATGGTATATATGTTGCATAAATTGTAATTTGGTATCAATAAACGTACTTTATTATATAATTTTCGGTTTTTGTGTTCTTTAGTATTTTCTTTGTTTTAAATGATGAAAAAATAATGATGAAAAAATAATAGAGCGTATGTTATAAAACTGTAGAAGTCAAGGAGAAATTACTTTGAAAAAGTGTATATGTTATAAAGTTAATGCTTGCACCTTCACTTATTGCAGGTAATTAAAAATCAAATTAGTAGAAGAATGTAGAGTAATTGAATGTTAGTTAAATTTCTTAAAGAGTCAACAAGTGTTGAGATTGTTTCCGTGATAGGAAAAGATGGAAAATGTCAAAGTTACAATTTTATTTGATCGGTTAATTTCTCAATAGATTTGCATGTTCCAGCTGCCAGGATGGGTAATTCAAATAATATATTGAATGTTTAATTGAAATCTACCTACGTGGAACAGTACGCAAGTATTGCTCTTTTCTTATGTACTCCAAATCTACCTCCAGGAGGCAGTTCACAAGCATGACCTTTTTCTTACATACTCCAAAATTACCTCCATGGAGCAGTACGCGAGCATTGCTTTTTTTTTTTTAATGCTCCAAACCAACCTCTGTGGAGTATCTTTGAAGTATTCGATGCTCGACAGTGCAGTGCAGCACAAGCATAATGCTTTTTTTCTACTTCGCCGGAGTAGATTTGGAAGCTAATTAGTATATTTGAAATATATATGCTTCTACATGTATCATGCCGCTAATCTACTGCATTAATGCTCCTGTCTGTACAAATGTAATTTCGGGAGTAGAATTGCAGTAGGCTATACTGCATTAAACTGCATTATACTGCAAACATGCTCCAAACCATTACTGCACTAAAGTTTAGCCTAGGTCCCAACCGAACGTACAGGCTGCTACGTGTGGTCTACGGCCAAACAAATGTGGAAATTGTGGGAGTTCGTGCGTGAGGTGCACGTCCATCGTGCGACTTTTGGGAGGATGCAAACAGCGCGAAGAAACTTTTCGACATGATCAACAGCCGCTTGATTCCTTCCCTGCGATCTAACTACGTCCTGGCCGGACGCAAGGAAACTAAACAGCCGTGCGTCCAAAACGAAGTTGGGACCTAGGCTTAAGAAGGACTTGCGTGGGAAGTGAGATTCTGCGCAAAATTTGGACGCAAACAGCCCATAAGAGCCCGTACAGCCGGTTGTGACCGAGGCTTAAATTACGGTTTCCCAACTGGCATAAAATACTGCATTCGAATGACTTGAGGGTACTTTTGGCCATTCGCTATGCATCAGCAATTAATAAGCTTGTCAACTGATGACATTTAATCTAAAAGACGATCAGCTTTTTATATCATAAGATCTAAATCACATATATATCTTAAGTAATATTCCAAATAACAAATAACGTTTTCACGACGTTATCCGGTGGTTGCATGCTGCTAATGGTATAGAAGAACATTATGGTGATGTTATGGGCGCTTTTAACTCAATGCGAAATGGTGTGCTAGCTAACAAAAAACCCATTATAGTAACCTTATAATTTGTAGAAAGATTCGAAGTTTCGAACACCTCGACACCATTAAGGAATGGACGTCATTCACTTACGCAGCTCCGTGGTGGGAAATGGCATCAATTAAATTCCTAATTACCGCAACTAAAACTTAACGACTCTACAAGAACCAGTTTGAAGAACAGTGTGCACGTTTTACCGCTTATAGTAAAGCTGCCAGTAACACATATAAACAACTTCTACTAGAGTTTTATACGACTAAAATAAAGTCGGAATGCCAAGGGATATAGTGAATAAATCACTTGATCATCCATAAAAGTACTCTAGACTGTTCCTTTCTTTAAAGTGTAATGTAGCCGTTGATTTTGTTTGAAAACAAAAAGAAAAAAAGACAACCCATTTGTCTTCTTCGTCTTAAATAATCATTCCATCATACGGCTCTAAGGTAGATAATGGCATAAATTAAATTTCCAATTACTGCAACTAAAACTTAACGACTCTACAAGAACCAGTTTGCCCACCACGTACATGTACACTTTCACGTGTA